GAAAAGTTCAATGGGAAAAATCATTCGTGAAAGAGAATACGTCGCAATTGTTGCCACCTTGGAGTAAACTAGATAGACATTGGAGAGGAGAGAATTTTTTTTACTTTTCGAAGCATGTTCTCATTCTTTAATTTAACTCTAGGGGTTTTTGCTTTTAGACCCATTTGTTTACTCCCATTTATTTTTAAACCCAAGTACTATTATTTGTATCTTTAAGCCCAATTCACCTTTTGTATTTATCTTTAAACCCAAAACCACTTATTTTTATATTTTGAAGATTGGGTTTAAAAATAAATACAAAATGTGAATTGGGCTTAAAGATACAAATAATAGTACATGGGTTTAAAAATAAATGGGAGTAAACAAATGGGTCTAAAAGCAAAAACCCCTTAACTCTATCACAAACCTGAGTCTTTCCGTCAGGCCTGACCCACTTGCAAGTCCCATTCTTCCTGACCTCCGTCAACTTCGCCCCAATCTTAGTCGCCAGCACATGCGTCAGCGGCATCAACTCCGGCGTCTCGTCCGTCGCATACCCAAACATGTGGCCCTGATCCCCAGCCCCAATCTCCTCCGGCTTCTTCGACAAATGCCCGTGCACTCCCTGCGCAATGTCAGGACTCTGCTGCTCGATGTTGATGAGCACATTGCACTTATCAGCATCAAGCCCAACATCGGCGGAGACAAATCCGATGCCTCTGCAGGTGTCGCGGACGATTTTCTCATAGTCGACCTTGGCTTTGGTAGTGATCTCACCGAAGACCATGACCATGTTGGTTTTTGTGCAGGTCTCGCAGGCGACCTTGCTCTCGGGGTCCTGGGCCAGGCAGGCGTCCAGGATTGCGTCGGAGACTTGGTCACAGATTTTGTCGGGGTGGCCCTCGTTCACGGACTCGGAGGTGAATAGGAATGTCTCCATCTGCATTGTTAGATAAAGCATTGGAGGTAATACATCATGAAAATTAGTGTATTGCGGAGAGATTCTCCAATATTTCAATATGTTGTGCGGAGATCTCTATTCTCTTTTAGGTGTTGAACAGGCAGAGATCATCTACATCATGGATTCTAGTCTTCTAGAGCACCTCTAGAATTCACTAATCACAGACCCCATGAATTATAATCGTTATATAAAGTATATATAAATTCTTTTAATTATGAGCTCCATGAATGTGGCAATGCTATTAATCATCATAACTAATTGTAAAAATTCTTATATAATCTAGGATGTAGAGAATCTTTGCCCGTGTTGAACGGTCTAAATTGCTAATAAAAGAGCTTTATGGAAAATAAAATATTAATCTCTCTATAATGTAAAGAGTATATCTGCAATGAATGTGGCAATGCTATTAATCATCATAACTAATTTACTTCAGATCAGGGTCAAAAGTATAACTAAAATATTAACCTCTCTATAATGTAAAGATCACCATCATAACTAAATGTGAATTATAGGAATAAAGAACTACATCAAATTCGCATGGATCAGAACTACAAATGTCGTATTCATCAGGTACAAGTTATGTATGCAATAATCGATAATTTTTACAATGGCATGTTGCGAACGGATATTAAACGATAACACTGTCAACAATACAGAATCTGGAAGCAAAGATCTCCCCTATTTCGATTGGAAAAATAAATTCATCAATTTTTGGCTACAAACTGAGCATGGCCAACTTAAAGCAAAATGCGCGAAAAATGAACGTACCTTCAAAAGGAGGTCGAAATCGTGAGAGAGAGAGAACAAAATTTATTTTTTCTTCGTTTTGGACAAAACAAAGGTTATTTAAGAAGAAGAAAGATGACAATTTTGGGCAAGGGTTTGCTTTAATTGGAAAACAAAACGAAAGGATAGGGATCTCTTTTTGACTCGTTATTTTCTCCGGATGACTCGATCTTTCAATTGCACCTGCTAACCCTTTAGCCCCTTCATTGGTTAGGAGTAGATTTAGATCTCAAACTAAATCCCCTTAAAATATGCTGGTATTATTAGCTTGATATGATCATATCAAGAAAATAAAAAAATAACTTTTTTCCCTTTTCTCATTGGTGTGCGCTATAGGATTCCAAGTTCAAAACTAAAATCTATTAGGCAAACGGATCAGATATGATCATCTTTATTATATAGGTATGTGCTTACCAATTACAGATACATATGCTAATACAAATAGCCTCCATAAGAAAAATTCAAATCGATGTCCGTCAAAAGTGCATAAAAAATATCAATTAAGAGAAAATAGATGAGAATATCATACAAATTCGAGGTTTGAAAACCAAATAAGTCATGATGTTTACATAAATTATTTTCAAATGAAAGTTTATTAAAAATTCTGCATATTGAAAAATTGTTTTTGCATAACACG